CAAGAAAACAGTGATAATTATTTTTAGAACGTCCATCTTTGAATCTGCGAAAAAAACAGTGCGCTCAGTTGGTTTTAAGTGGCACTTGTTGACAAAGATATAAAAAAATTACATAAGACGATATAATTAAGAAGAAATTTAAAGAAATATAAACAAGAGTTGTAAAGCTCGCTTTGGGCGCTAATGATCATTCATAGGGAAGAATAATATCGTAAGAAATGAGCTGAAATTTGGAGGGAAGTTTTAGTTGTAGATGGGTCTCATCTTTCACTGTCATCTTTAATGTTCTTGGTTATATATATTGGTAATACCCATCTCATATGCAACAAGTTCAACCTTAGCTTCTCTCTCCTTCATAATATTGCAGGAATTAAGTTTACAGCGCAATCTTGATGATTTCCAGGTTCATTTGTTAGACGAACTTCAATATACGTTTAATGTTATTCGAGTCACTGAGACTAATATAACTGACCAAAATTTTCTTGGTTTAAATCCGAAAATTCCATGCTTTTTGTTTGAATACGTTCTGACGCCTTTTACTAGCTGCCAGAGGCGTTTCACCCTGCCAGCAGCGCCTTTCTTTCTCTTGCTCAATTTTGGCGTACTTGAGAAAGACCGTGCTTGAATCGAGTGAGATCTCTGTTGAACATGTGCGACAGGTTGCTAGGATATAGTTTCAAACCAAGGCCTAATATCCGTGTGCTTCATATAGTGGGCTCAGTTATGACAATCGGTTTATCGATAAATGGATGCTAGCACTCGAAAAAACCAGTCTGATGAGAGAGAACAAGATTGACGAGTCCAGACGTTTGGGCTGCGGTAACCTAACTAAAAGGTTTGACGTGATTCAGGCAGAGCCATCTCCATCTTGGCCGCCATCTTAAATTTTACCAGGAATTAGAAAGCAGGTTACGTAAAATCGCGATAAATGGTTATTTTTTGTGCTTGATATGTACACTAACACATAAATACGCACTTTGTATCATTTCATCCACAAGTTCTTTGTATTGTTGAAAAAAGTTGAAAAAACATGCATTTTCACTCAGAAATTGCTTGACCACCTGCTACTTATGACGCCATATCTCGTAACCATAGAAACTGACCATCACTTAACTTGTCTCGAAATGCGCGCGAGGGATAAACGAACCGCTACTGAAAACGTCAGGTGCTGAATGTTTTATCATCTGGAAAAATGTCGAAAACTTCGTGGGTGGCACCATACCACCCTCCCTTGTACTTCCGAGGCTTAAAATGCGTCATTTCAGTCTAGAAATTTTTAGCTTGAGTGAAATGTAGCCAAAAAGTGCCTGGTTACCGCTTACATGACTTATTAAATAGTTAGCAAAATACTACTTTTTTTGCGTTCCGATAACTGACAGGATTTCGTATTTAATAGAAAACAAACTGATTGACATATAGTACATAAATTATCACCTTCTTATCTGCAAAAACCGGCCTTTGGTTCAAGCCATATAGCCCGCTGAAACTAGACCTAGATCCAATTCGAGTCGAGAATTGGTTTTCCAAGGCACAATCAACTAAGCTAAACACCAAAGAAACGTCTTTATGGCTAGCACAGAATATGACTGTTTCTGGTTAGTTTATGAAGACTTTACTTTGGAGGACTATCATCCGGGCAGATAAGCTGCCTTTCAACATTTGTAGAACTTTAAGTAACCATTTTGGCTTGTAAACTTTATTACAATTGCGCATGTAGCGGTTATCATTAAATTTAGCTCTCCTGTTTACAGTGTTATACGAATGTCGCCGGATTCTCTAGTTACACTTGCTATTTTTCGCTTCAGCGGCGTCTGTAACACTATGCATAATATAAACCACCTGGCCGATTAAACAGCTTCGGCAAGAAACATATATTTTTGCCGTTATTTTAAGTCTTTAATATGGTAAAGATTTATTTTTTGTCCTTTCTCTTTTTTTTTAATGGCTATCACAGTTTATTTAACTTCAATCAAACTTATTCTGCTAAGAACAAAAATTTTAAGAAAAATGGCTAAGATATTTGCTCGAAAAATGCATTTGTATGTTTATGTAGAGTCTTTTGTAGGGGGATAAGAGGTGTTTCTAATATTAGGCTTTCTGAAATCATGCGAATCCGAGCAGAGTCTTCCCTGGCAATTGTTTTCTATTCTTTTTGTGTTTCAGTTCAATCATAAAAAACTAAAACCAAAAATGGTTACTACAGACTCAGACTCATATTCATACTGTAGTTATACAGTACTCGAAAACCTGGAGCTTGCTAGTTCCCTAGCTTAAGAAGCTAATAATGCGTCTAGTTTTAAAGGAAGAATTCACACAGATACGTTAAATTACAAATACCTGAAAAACGGCTTTTTGAGTTATGATCCTGATTATACTTTTTCCCGTTGGCTATTGAATTTGGAACAAACAGTAAATAAATGAGCTATTCGAAAAGCGGAGGTGATTTGTGGCATATCCCTATGAAACCTGAAAAGCTTGTGACATAGGTACTTCCGGTTTCTCCACGGCTGTTCAGCGTATATAAATTATTAACCTACACGTTTCCATTTACTTGGGTAAAGTATGTAAATATCTGTGGACGTTGAATATTTAAAGGAAACAAATATTAACTTTAATATGCTAAATAACAAGTTGATTGCTGAAACGTTATGTTTTCAATAACGTAAAGGGACAAATTTTCGTTGTAAAACTGTCCAAAATCCATTAGTTGACAACCGCATAATGAAAAGCACCTGCATGATTTCTTTTTCTTAACTTCCTATTTTGAAACAAAATTTTACCGTACCTATCAGTCTCAATAGCTAAGGGAGCTTAGAGTCGTATTCTTCATCAAATCTCTTTTGAATGAAAGAAGAGTGACAAGTACAATATTTGTCTGCTCTAATATTGGAAAGGAAGAAAGCGTCGTTACTCCAGGTAAGAGTATATTTCCTGAGTCTCCTCTTCCTACAATTGCTTGATATGAAAAGATAAAAAAATACGACTTCTTTGCAGTACTCCGATAACAACAAGTCTTTTCTAGGTTTCTTCTCCGACTAACCATTGATCGAGAAATGTTTCGCTATACGTTAATGCCTCCTCAGATCATATATCTGATGCTATTATGATCACAACCGGACTGTTCATGTCACTCTTTTTGGCAGAAATAAGGAGTTATTCTGGTATGTATGTTTATTTGATCTTTTAGTAATTTTTTAGTAGCTTTTCACGCGCTGTTTGCTCATCAAAAGAATGGGCGATGAGAGTATTTTTTTTAACCTTTCGTATTATGTGAAGAATAAATTATATACCAAGCCTCATTCAATAATTGTTAAACAGCTTTAGATATCAACTAATTACATTGCTCAAAACACCAAGATCACTGACTGTGAATATGGTAATAAAATAAGCACTAGTTTCGGTTTTTGTGATATCCAGAATTATCTCAGTCTTGGTAAACGTAAGTTGTTGTTGTTGTTTTAACTAATATTTGCCTTAAACAAAAATAATTACAAATATTATTTGTAACTATTTAAGCCATTTTCTATTTTCAAAGCGGGCTGAAAGTAAAAAACTAAAATAATAAAAGAAAGGAAAGAAAAAAGAAAGAAACTAAATTAAAAGGAAAAAGACGCTAACCTAATGATCACGAGTCAGTGAAACAGTACAGCAGTACAAGTCAGACCTTGATTCCGGATATCATGATCACAATAACCTCATCCATTAATTGTTTATTTATTTATTATACATCGAAGTTATTTCTCCGTTTGTGATTGGCCCAAATCCCACAGTTATTTCTTCATAACCAGCTAGCGTTGACCAGATGTGGAAGATGTTTGCGATATCCGGAAAAGTGACTTCAATAGTACATAGTAATCGCCAGAAAAGGAACGGCAACCGAGAAGCCCTGGGAAGAGTTTGAGTTGTTTTTGTAGAGCTTATATATAATAAAACTGTATGAAATGGAGGGACATTTCACACATTTCGCGAAGAAGAAATAGCCGAACTACTACCTAAAAACATAGCAAGAATTATGCAAGAATACAACTAAACGGATGACATCTGCTATTGAAAGAATATTTGCCAGACTACTGAAACATTCTTCTGTAAGACAGGCACCTAACATGTACATCGATCGAGTTAAGCATTTTTAGTTTGTTTTAAAAGCTTTTTTTAAATGCTTACAGGAATTATTTTGAAGGAACAATAAAACGATTATTGGATTTGGTATTAGTGATAATTCTTAAGATCGTGAAAGGTTTGAACCCCAGAGTCATTTCACAAGTAGGTTGAGTTTGATCATCCGGGTGAACGTAGTCCTGAATAGGACTGTTGTTGTTGACAGTGACTGTCAACAACAACAGATGACATCTACTATTTAAAGAATATCTGCCAGACTACTGAAACATTCCATAGTACACTACTCCGAAGTTGTCGAGAAACACTGGGGCAAACGAAGACCGGCACCTAAAATGTAGATCGATCAAGTTAAGTATTTTTAGCTTGTCTGAAGGGTTTTTTTTAAGGAATTATTTTAAAGGAAAAATGAAACGATTATTGGAGTCGGTCTTAGTGATAATTCTTAAGATCATACTCAGCCTCATCCAGTAATTTTTCATCACTGTTTAAGTCACATACAAGTGTCACAGATGCCTCAATTTTATCCTTTTTAGCTTTGGAATGCCCTGAAAAGTGGAGCGAATTTGAAGGCTTTTGCTACAAGGTTGTGGATAAGTTAGGTTATCCGCGGAGATTTGCCTGGTCAACAGCTTTAAGAGGGTGTATTGGGTTTGGAGGAGACCTGGTAAGCATGTCCAATGAAAAAGAAATGAAGTTTGTTCATAACTTGTCTTTCAAAGACACAGACCGCACTTCTGTGTGGATTGGGTTGGCGTTTCGGCATCAAACGGGCGGATATGTATTGAACAATGGAGAATTGTTTAACAGTTCTGTTTCCGTCAAGTGGATCGGCAACATGTCAAGACGTTTTTATGAAGATGAATGCGTCGAAATCTTGAAAAATGGCTGGAAACTCTCGAAATGTTGCAAGGAAAACGAATATTTCATCTGTGAGAGACCCAAAGGTGAGTTGTTCCTGTTGGGAACTTGGCATTAAAAATGTTGGGGAGGCTCCGATCGTACGAGGTATGACAGGAGTACAGGTAATATTTGATCACTTGGGGCGCTTTCCAAATACTCTTAAATGATCAGCATTAGAGCAGTCTCATGATCATATGAAGGAGGCTCGCACCCATTTCTTACCCATTCGAGTTTGATGTTCCATAACTTTGGCTGTAGTTCATGTATGGAAAAGCCACAAAGTGAAACAAGATATCGAACATTGAATTTAATTTTGGAGTATGTTTTGTTGACATCACCGCTTCCTTAGCAACAGAATAACGATGACATGAAATCTATTAATTAGTAATTTTCTCTAAATCTACTTGTATCAATGATCTGCAAATCCTCAAGTGTGCTAATAGTTTAGACCGTTGTCTTAACCGTGAAAAGATTGAAAAATCTTTCAGAGCGTTTTTGAAATATAAGGTTCTAAAAATTTTGCATCCCCCCAAAACGATTATTATTATTGGGCTCAATCTGTTTGCTCTGTTAATATTTGACAAATTAGGTCCATTGGCTTGTTCTGCTGGGTCGTTTCTTAATGGAGTATCTTGCTACAAAGAAAATAATAACGATACCTGGGATGGTGCACGAAAAGAGTGTACTGCTTCTGGAGGCGATTTGGTAAAGATAAATAATGCTAGAGATGAGAAGCACCGATTTTTGATTCAGTTCATGGAAATTAACGGTCTGAAGAAAATGAACATAGATGTAAGTACCGAGTCTATAACCCTTTGAGCTTCAAGACTGCATGATCGATTAGCATGAAATTTCTGGTTGTAACTGATGCTTAAATATATTCTCCCCAACACATCTGTAGGAAAAGTGTAAGGACAGGAAATGGGCATTTAATTTGAGATACTAGGTTTTAACTGCATATTGAGCTCGCTTAAGGCGCGGGCAATTTATTATAATAAGAGATTTCAAAGAAGAATGCGGCAAAATCACATTTTCAATGTAGTTCGTGACACAGAACCAATTGAATCAGTTAGCCTGAGTATCAGGCCTTCCTAAGGGGCTAGGGGAGAGGAGATTTTAGATGGGGGAGGGGGGAGGGGGAGAAGCTCTCTCTCTTTTTCTCTTCCATCTTTCCCCTTTTCCTCAGAAACGCCTGATACTCAGGCTAGAATCAGTAGACATTTTTAATTTCATTTTCATTAGTTTCTGATCTAAAACTCTAACCCTGCAATGTATCTTGATTCTACGCAGCTAAATAATGTTCAAAAGACCACGTTTCACGTTACTTTGGGAAGCTGAGCGCACAAACTGAATTATTACAAGATGCAAAATACTGGTGAATTTGATATAAAGCCAATTGTTCTGCCCCTCATCAGCTGAGACGTCCTGATCTAAAATGATATCTTGATTGGATAATGATGTCCTTTTTGACAAAAGTTATTAACTTAATTTGATTGTAAGTAACTAAGAAACTGCATACTGTCATACTAATGGCAGTGATCTTAGTTACATCAGGCGGACAACTCCCGCAACAACATCAGCTTTAATCAATCAGTCTTAGAAAAGTCTTGGTCGAGAAATCATCATATAAGGTAAAAAAGGGAAAGAACTTAAATATATAGGCTAAGACTGGTGTGAATAACTAGCGAATAACTAAGACAATGACTACTATACTTTGCTAAAAGAAACCAGAGCATAAAAGATTGACCAATAATACAAAATTTGTGGCAGATACTATTTTCTAAAATGACTAACAACACCTCAAGAGTAAATCACGAAACAGAAAAATGATTGGTCATATGATGTTCAATGGCGTGACGGCAGAGAATTTGACGAAATGTTGCAGATTTCTTTTTAATATCACGGCTTTAAACAGTAGAAACATTCAATTTTCACATGATAGCTATTTCCCTGAAAATTTCAAAAACTAATTGTTACAATTTGGACAAGTTGAGTTAAAAAATTAGGATTTCTTAACGGTAACATTCATAAGGAAATCTAATGACTCGATTTGCGTAAACCTACCAAATTAAAAAATTAGGCTTTTTCGATATATCCTTGTTGCCATGCCAACGATCGAAATCTCACTTCTAAACTGTCCATACCAAATATGAGCCTTATACCTTCAACGAGTCTTGAATGATACTCCAATGATCACAGTGTTTCCAACCGCCTTTATCGTGGCTTTTTAGGTAAATTGTTCCATTTAATGTTTTTTTTTTCTCTCTATCCCTTATAATTCCTTTATACAGCACGTATGGATTGGCCGAAAAGGTGATTCGAATTGTTTGCAAATGGAGACAGACACTGGAACGATAGAAAAGGCGGGGGACTGTAACGAAAAAAAGAACTATATTTGTGAAATGCCAGTAACAAGTACGTTTTATATCATCCACATCAAGAAGGTTAAACTTAACATTTTACTGCACAAATAGCCTATGCTCAGTATGAGAGCCCTGGATAACACTAATCTACTTAGCTAATTATTTATTCATACGGCAACAACCACATAAGACGTTGTATGAAAATTATTGCTTTTTCTCTAAAATTGGGCGAAATGTGCATTACGTTTTTCCTCTTAAACTTTCGTTTAGTATTTTCGGGTTAAATTCTATCAAATTTTAGTGAATAGCTTCCAATGTAATAAAAGCTCCACTTCTAGGCTTGTCTAAAAGCTATATGTTCACGCCTTTGCCCCAGACTTTGAGGTAAGTCACTTTGTAAGCGAGATACTCGATGGTTTTAAAGAATTCTTCCTATAATTCTGCATTTATCTTTAGGTACCGTTTGTTATGAGTACCCTAGCAGGAATTCATCTGTTCCCATTACAGTCAACTGTGCATTTCCAGAAAACCTTTGTTTCAAATACGGAAGCGGCGAACAAGTCACCATTCAAGGCTGTATATCCGCTGATCAATGCCGACAATTAGAAGATCAACATTTACACTGTTGTGAAGGACATCTGTGTAATAGTAGTAAGTATGATGGACACAAAAAAGTTAAAATATTGCAATTTATGCCCGCCTTGCAATGTTCCTCAGAAACAGGGAGAACTTAGATTATTTAACGAAGATCCGTGAAGGAAGAAAAGCCATGTTTAGCGGCGAGGTAGATTTGAAGGCTTTTTTTGTAATTTTTCGTAAGTTAATGCACCTGTTTTATTCAGCGCACAGTCGCACGTTTCCTATGCCAATTGAATTTATTATAATGCAATACCTTTAGTTTCAGAAAATCCGACCCGCGCTATTTCTAAAGTCATCTACATCTCAGTTGGTGTCACCTCCACTTTTTTGCTGCTCTCCGTCGCTTTTTTCGTCTGGTGCTACAGAAGAAAGAAGTTAAAGACTATTGAAAGGTTTGTGTAGCTTTTAATTTGCTAACCACAATGTTCAGCGTAATTGTTTCTTCAGTTGAAGTGTATCAAAAACACATAAGCCAAATGTTACGTTCGGAGTATTTAATTCTAGCGCGATCATTATTGGTTAGATTGCATCACGTGGCCACTTATACTTCGACGTGCACCTGCCTTGATGACAGTTACAAGGAATTAAGTCACTCAGGTTGTAATTTCTATTTAAAATAATCAAGCATTTTGTTTTAGCCAAGGGGTTGAAAACCTAAAAGACAGTAAAAAAGAAGAGATGCTAAAGAATAATAGCTTGAAAATTAAATTAAAAATTGACGTGATTGATAAAAAAATATTATTGCGTTCGACGTTGGGAGAATGCAACCTAAACTCAATGCCCAAGAGCCTGAGCACGAACATTCAGCGGAAAGAAACTCAACTTGTGGTAGTCTGGGTAAATTACCGGAAACGGAGAGGGTGCGGGTGGTGGCTTTATAAACGTTTTCAGAAACGCATACCGTAAAATTCCGAAAATAAGCCCCTCCATGTGTAAGCCCCCCAAACTCGTAACGCAAAGAACCCTTCGTTAAATCGCTCCCCCAAATACAAGCCCCCCGGGGGCTTCTACTTGGAAATTGCCCTCAAATACAAAGTAAAACAAAGCAAAAACGGTAAATTTCCTTCCAACTATAAGGCTAGCCCCATCGATTTTGAAACGCAAATTTCCCTCCATAGAAAAGCCCCTCCGAATATAATCCCCTTCAAAAATAATCCCCTCAAAAAAGGCCTTTGAAAAATATAAGCCCCGGGGCTTATTTTCGGAATTTTACGGTACGGAATTTAAAGGCATTTCCGATGCTCCCGTTCAATGCTTTGTTCCGCGGTTTCTCTACACGTTCTTATCTGTTCAAACAATCTTGTACAAGGCGAGAGTTTTAGCGATGGTGTGTTTTTTAGGTTGAAAATGTGGTGTTTGAACTGATAACAGCCAGGCTATCATTACGATTGCTCTCGAACGCTTTTTGATCAATAGCAACCTTAATCTGTCTTAATGATTCGTAGACGAAAATCCAGCTGTTATTATATATATATATGTCCCCAGATCACCTGATTCACAGCTCTCTGATAAGTGGGAAATATTGCTTGAGCAAATAGAATTCGAGGAAGAGCTGGGGAGAGGAGCTTTTGGTGTTGTTTACAAAGCAACCTTTAGTAAGAGTGATGAGATGGAGGCGTTGGTCACTGAGACTTCCAAATGGCCTTCATCATCCAGGAAGCCGAAGGCACCACAGGTGGTAGCTGTCAAAGTTTTACATGGTAAGAAATATTTTAATCTACATAAGGGAGAGACAAAGCCATAAGCGCTTGAAATTATAACTTATTTTCAGTTCTTTCTATGCAACAGAAAGGACTTTTTTAGTTCTCGTTTGGACCTTTCCGAGGGAAGAAAAAAAAGAAAAAATCAAAATCAAAATTTTATTATTATTATTATTATTATTTTGGTTGCTGCTGGTATTGTTGTTGTTGTCGTTTATTCTTTTCATCATTGTTCTCCTTCTAAAACAACGGCTAAGGCCTGAGATAGGGTAAATAGGGTAGGGGTTCAAGGTAGCTCGCCGCACCCACCCTGACTGTTCCAATAATCCCGTCTGAGGCTGTTATTAAAGAAGATGGGATGGTAACGTGAATATTAAATTTAAATGCAATTGCAAGTGTAAAATCTACCTGTCCTTTTGTGCATATGAGGTGAGGACGCGTGCAATTAAAAGGGATGAATATATGTCATGCAAATGAAAAATCTAGTACTGAATTAACAATTTAATGCTGTCACCGCACGACTGGAAGAAGACAGAATCATTTTATTCAATTGTCTTTAGATGATCCATCTGAAGCACAGAAAGAAGAGTTCACGTTTGAGATTGAACAGATGAAGATGTTAGGCTCACATAAGAACGTTGTATCTATGGTTGGATGCTGCACGCATGAAGAGAAAATGTTCCTGGTCATAGAATACGTTCCGTGTGGTGACCTCTTGACGTGGCTTCGCCGCAGAAGAAAAAAGGTAAGAAAGTCAAGAAAATCTCATTGCAGCGTGTTCTCGTGTTCTGAAAGTGTAGACCACCATTTTTTTATGACTATATAGCTTCCAGCCCTATCATGTATTGGAACTATTGCAGATTTACATCTGCGAAGACGCCAATTTTATACCCGATAAAGTCCTTGTTATTGAAATCATGAGAATTTTTTTAACTTTTGTTACAAAGAGAAAATACTTTCCCCCGAGATTACCCAGTGTAAGGGAAGATGTTTTAACATTATCATATATCTCACTGGCTTTTATACAAGGTGCCTGCACTCACTCTATAGACAGCCAAGTCCAAGGAGCAAGAACGCATGCGCATCCTCATCACCCATGAAACTCACTCCCCCCAAGCTCTGCTAGTAATGTTACGATTATGAGTCAGCATTTATTTGGCTGTGTTAGCCTACAGGGAAATTGCCTTGACTTTGAACTGCATTCTGGCTTGATAATCTATCAAAAATCTCCCCTACCTACCCCCCTACTTTTGACACAAAAAAGCCAGCCACCCACCCCCTATAAGGTCTGGGTCTAAGCTCTGTGATAAGCTCTCTGGATATTTTTGGCTTCCCTGGCTTGATGCCCGTGTTCAAGCGAAAACTTTGCGGTCACCTTTAAGCAAAGTCACACAGATGTATTGGTCTTTATTTGTTCCGAAACTGATAACGTTGCTTGCTGGAAGTCTAGATCAACGAACTTAAAGCCTCCGAGAGATCATATGCTGACAAAGAGGTTCTGAAAGATCAGGGAGAGACCATAGATAAGGTAGGCTTGTTAACAAACTGTACTGATTCAATATTTTATCCATTTTTGTTTGACCCTGATATTTTTTTCTATTCTTCAAAGTCCCCAACCGTTTGTTGTTTGTTCTCTGTGTCTGGTTGACGGCTCATTGTACGTAATCAAAGACTTTATTAAAGGCGCTTTCCAAAAGTCAGAATTGGCCGGCCAGACCATCATCCGGCCGGCACCAGTCATTTTGACAATGAAAAATGCTTTTTTGCAAGAGCTTTTGTTGAAACACCATTTCCTTTGTGCCTGCTATTTGGGGTCTGACTGATAGTTTCGATTGAAAGTGAAATTCTCTTTATGACTGGAATGGTCTGGCCGGTCAGTTCTCACAAATGGAAAGCGTCCTAAGACGATATTAAGACACTGAAATTGTTTCCATGCTTGTAAAAATCACCAAAAAGTTATCATGTATAATGCCCTCTGATAAAATTTTTTTGATGTCTTTTTTATGGGGTGGTATAAGACGGAAAGTGGAAAACTCTTTTAGGGTGGATTGAATGGTCTTTCCTTCTTCGTAGCAAAAACAAGCAGGCAAACTTTTGAAGAAAACGGCAAAGGAAGAGCAGGCTCAGGTCACCATGGAAATGATCTCATTGCGCCAGAGTGGCGACCCAGAGGACATGGCGTCAGCCACTCACAGTCTCCCTGATGTAAGAATTTTAATAATCACACTCAAGCCACAAGCGGCCCTGTCTCCATCCTTGGAGGCCTAGGTGCAGTCAGGTGGTTCGGGAAAAAACGTTTGAGCCCCTGGTTACCGACATCTCACCAGACCATTTTCAAACAATCCAGCGAGTGCTGACTCCCGATTGGGCACAAAAAATGGTTTGTATTATTTTGCCCAATGGGCGAACAAGGGCTTCTATTTTCTTTTCGTGTGTTCGTACACGGCGGCTATTATCTCGCCATACTTTCACCAAGGTTGCGCGTGCAAGGGGAATCTTGGCTTTTCCCACCTTGCCCCTACCAGAAACGTAGGAACTACTGATGATTTGGGAAGACGTTTCAGATGCTATCAGCAGGACCTAGACCATTCTGTCACAAGCAGGGTGCAAAGAAAGTCAGTTTTACAGCCTGCCATTCGGGCAAGCTGTAGCTAGTATGTACTAGCCCACAAGTCATTTCAACTAGCCCCCAAACCCTTTTTGATTAGCAAAACTGATTACCATTCTTCTGTAATTTGAATTTCCCCAAAAAACAGCACTTGCCCATCGGGAAAAAACACTAGCCCGATAGCAAAATCCACTAGCCCCGGGCTATCGGACACGACTTTCTTTGCACGCTGCACAAGATATAGTAAATGATATTTACGATGGCGTGATCGATAAGGATCGATGCAAGCTTGAATACGTGTTGTAAGCTCAAGTTTATGTTTTTGGATAAGCATCTCTTAAATACCCTTTCATAAGTTTCCAAATTTAGTTTTCGGGTAGACAGTTGCAGTTTCTTTGAATCCATGAACGGGCTTTATATCGAACTGAAACTTTCCTGACAGCGTGTATTTCTTTGGTGCAAGAGCCAAACAAGTATCATAATGGCGAGACAATAGCTGTCGTGTACGAACACACCAAAAGAACTCAGGAGATGGTGTTTATCGATTGGGCACAATAATACAAAGCATTCTTTGCACACAGTCAGCTTGACCGTTTGGAAATAGTTTAGTAAGGGTCGGCACTCAGGGGTTCTTCCGCCCTTGCTTGAAAACTATTTTTTGCTGCGCCTTTTCTCCCGACCCGACTGACTTCCTCTGGTTCTTCGAGGATGCCTTGTCTCGCGATACGAAGGGTGTAACATGATATATTTCATTCCTAAGAGCATTGGGCGAAGCGAAAGGTGACGTTTCAGTGACTGAAGAGATATCACGTAACAAAAGACTGTTGTTATGGAATTAAATATCGTGGTTTTTGAAGAATGATAAATACAATTTCCATCTCATTTCACTGGAACTTTTTAAAATGAACAAATTCACCTCCTTTCTGTCTTCTGTTAATCGAATTACATAGTTTTAGCACAAGTACCCCGAAACTCATGGGAGATAATTATTAGTGCATAAGATTTTATAGCATGATTTAAATTGGATTTTAAGCTGAGGGAACTAGCAAATAAAACAATAAGAAGAAAAAGGCATTAGTCTGCCTAAACTTGTGTGATATTTTAATTTTTAGTTACAGACAGTAGCTTCTAACGATGTAATGTTATAATTTTCTTACATATAAATTAATCGCCTTTTTTAAAAATCATTTAGCAAAGGTTCGCCTTTAATAATGAGGCTATGGACGATGAACATTCTGCACACAAGGAGCAAGTGAACACTGCACAGCAAAGCGACAAAGATGCCGTTATTGAAGTGATTCCCTCAACTTCCGCTACAAATCGTGTAAGAAGTTTTATAATTATTTACCACTACAAGTAATGCGGGTATGGGTATGCGGGTACTTGGTGTACTTGGTGCATTTGGTGCGTCAGGGTCATGAATCTCCCTACCCTGCAATTCATAGTTCCGGGTAGCCCTTGGGCAAGGCGTAACACCCGTTAGGCCTGTCAAGGTCACGAAACTGTTGCCTGGCAGTCAGGGTTTTTTTTTTGCCACAGGCTAAGGGAAACAACCCCTACAGAAAACGAGCCCACCGCTGGAAGGTCTGGCGCTCCTCCAGCATCGCTTGCTGGGATTTGTCTCAATGAGCCCAGCAAAACATTGATTTGGACAGAAATTGATTATCTCTTCTATGGTACTGTTCTCCCTAACATAACCTACGGACTATCTGTTTATGGTGCCTCCGATGCGGTAGCCTGCGCAGCTGGCGGTATTGTGTGATTAAAGTTTTGGCGACGGAGCCGCGATCCAAAAAAAGGGAGTGGGGACGAGGCGTTTGAAATACTATTTCTCGCGGCTTCGCCGCTCGTGGCGGCTCCGCAGCCAACTCTCACTCGACTGGTACAGCGGCTACGCCGCCAAATCTCCCTCGCCTAGTACACAATACCGCCAGCTACGCAGGCTACCGATGCGGAAATTAATGTCCTTCAGCGATTTTTAGACAGATGCTATAAGTTACGCTTTATATCTACTCAGTTAAATATTAGATCATTACTACAAAAACAAGATGAAGCGATTTTTCAAAAAGGTAAACAGCATGATAACCACCCTCTGAAGGTGTGCTTACCGCAAGAAATTAAAACAACAATCTAATCTTCGACGTAAAAGCTTCCAAAGGCCAAGATAAACACCGAACGTTATAAATAGATTAATTTTTAAACACAACCTTTCATGATATTTTATGTCAGAAATGTGGAACTATTTTTTTGTATTTTTTAATCTTTTTATTCTGTTGTAATTTAGCTGAACTTTTAATCTTTTTATCCTGTAACAGTGGATATGTATTTTTATTAATGAGCAAGAAAGACATTTATTATTATTATTATTATTATTATTATTATTATTATTATTATTGATGAACACTGCAAACTTCCCTACATACTTGCTCGGTCCTCGCCGGGATAAACAAGGGCCGCGTCCCCTAGTGGGCAACCATGTTGGAGTTGATAAGTCAGCTACTGGAAGACTCTTTAGATGCAAGATAAACACTCCGGTGTCAACTTTTAACATCCGTTCACTCAACTGCATTGAGATGATTGGAGAGCTTACCGCGCTGGCAGAGGAGAAAGGAATATCTGTTGTTTGTCTGCAGGAACATCGAAAATTTCACGATAATGCGGATGTGCACTATACTGATGTCGGCAAAGGCTGGATCTTGGCCACTTCCTCGTGCTGGAGGAAGTCCGTGAACAGTTGCGTGGGAGGAGTGGGTATGCTACTAAGCCCCTCTGCTTACTACTCCCTCGAGGAAAATATTGTGGTAGTGAATAGCCGAATCATCGTGGCAAACTTAAGCGACAACCCTGCTACTACTATTATATGCTGCTCAGTCCAACGAACTGCTCGGATATGGACAGCGATGCTCTAGACTTCTACAACACACTCTCTGAATTAATAAAGAAGCTACCTGGACATAACCTTAAATCATATGTAGTAATATTTGAATGCACAAATCAGTCCCTTAGACTGTAATGGGTTTAGCTTTGGAAAAAAGACGTTTATGTTGGATATGGCTACTGCATGTGGGCTTATAATTTAGAACACACGCTTCCAAAAGAGCTTTAAAAGTTGTGGACGTTCATGTACCCAAATGGTTGCAAAGCCAAACTTGATTATATACTGGTAAACAGGAAATAGTGGAACAGTGTCTCAAAGACTATCAGGCATATGACCCTCTCAGTACAGTATATTCAGGCCATAAAATTGTCGTAACTAAACTACGCCTCAGTTTGCTAGCCAATGGGAAAACAACTGCCAAACGTACTAGTTTCGACTGGCATTGTTTTAGTACCAGCCATTCTGTAAGAGAGGCTTATACTGTGAAAGTTAAGAATCGCTTTGAGGCCCTGTACGAGCTTGAGGAAAAACACACTGTGAACGATCTGTATACTACGATGATCGAGGCCCAAATGGATGCAGCTGAGAAGCGTATTCCTAAGAAAGGAAGGAAAACGTGTTTTGTGACGTCAATGATGAAGAAATGTCACGTGTTATTTGAAATCACGTTTTACGCGTTTTTTTCATTAAGCCACAGTTTTAGTTCGCTTTTCAGGATCACTGATGGAAGCAAACCGGTTTAAATAGCATTTTACAAAATATGCATATTTAATTAGGTAGTCAGAGATGCAGCATTTGATTTTGCAAATTGACACTTGGACAGAAGCAGCGAAAACACCAGGACTGGTTTGAAAACAACAACGAAGAAAACGCACGCCTTCTGAAGCAAAAGCAGGGAGCATTTAGCAATTGGCTTTAGGAAAAGACCTCGACTGCCAGGCTCGATCGTCTCAATTAAACAAGCACCTCAGGAACAAAGTCCAGACTGAGCTGAGAAAGATGAAGGATACGTGGTGGCTGCAGAGCTGCAGCAATACTCAGACGAGCACAACTTTAAGAGGTTCTTCAAGGGCTCGAAGACTGTATATATGGCCCCTCTTTCAATTTCATCCTGTCCCATACTCGGCTGGAACCCTGCTTACAGGGAAGTCTGATATCGTTCAAAGTTGGTGAAAAATCTTTAGCCAACTTCTCAACAAATCGACCAGTAAGCAATCCAAGATATACTTCAGCGCCCGGTTCTAAGCTCTCTTGACGATCCCCAACACTGGAGGAAACCCAGAAAAAAAATAAGCAGCTCCAGGCTAGGAAAGCACCTGTTCCTGATGAGATACCTTCCTGACGACTTCAAGAACACCAACGCCATCCACCTGTACAAGAACAAAAATGACAGAGCATCGTATGACAGCCACAGAGGCATCTCGCCGTTGAGTATTTCAGGAAATCTCATGGCACTCATCATACCGAGTTGTATCACACACGACCTCTTGGATGATTTCGTGTCTGACAGTCAGTGTGCCTTCAGGAAAAACAGAGGGACAATCGACATGATATTCGCCGTACGACAGATCAAGGAAAATGCCGCGAACAGAATCAGAGCCTGTACATCCTCTTTATGCACCTGACCAAGGCCTTTGATACGGTCGGCACGTGGGTTGGACATGTGTTTCTGATGGACGACACGCACCTCCCGAAGATGGTCTTCTTCTCTGAGGTGGCCAGCGGTACACGTAGCATTGGACACCCACTAAAGAGGTTCAAAGAAGCCCTGAAACAAAAAACTGAATCGAATCCCACTCTTCGATGGGAAACCTTCGCCACAGACCGCAACGCCTGAAGAATGGCCGTTCACAAGGGCGTTCAAGGCTTTGAAAAGAGCGGCTGAATGATCTCGATCAGACCTCTCGGCTGGCCGAGTTTTAGTTGCGCAAAAGCTGCGTCTTAGCGATTAAGTTGATCAGTACGATTTCTTCGAGTTCTTTAAGCTAGACCATTATTTATTTTTTTGTAAATTTCCCTAAGGATGTGGAGTGGAAAGTAACGGGAAAAGACTGGCCACGAAGCAGCCAAGCGGCAACAGGAAAAAGTCAAGCGAATCCTTCACCCGCCATGCCACCTGTAATCGAAAGCATACACGAGGATCTCAGCAGTGATGAAGAAGAGGAGGAGGAGAACTTTCGAACCAAACAACTCTTTTTATTTGCTTGGCAAATTGCTAAAGGAATGGTAATTACTATATTATTATTTTCTGAGAAACGTTGCTTCCATTCAGGTTTTGTTTTTATCCCTCAAAGATCGTTATCAAAGACTATTCCACAAGCAAGAAATAAAGGATAAATGAGTTAATTTTCTTAATGATTAATGGTTTTTAGAGGAGAAATTGTCATAGTTCGATCGAACCAAATTCGGCATGTTTTGTCTGAACTTGAATCAGCCGTTTAGATCAGTTCAGTTGTGATATTTTACTTTTGATTATTCGCTCCTATAATTTTCACGCCTTCACCCATGCCTTTTTAGGCAATAGTAGCCCTGTAACTGAAGTTTTATGGTACTTATTTTCATTTTTTCTCTTTCCTTCGGAAAATTAGAATCATCTCGCCGAAAACAATCTTGTTCACAGAGACCTTGCTGCCCGTAATGTCCTTGTTGGCCATGACAACCAAATCAAAGTGTCAGACTTTGGGTTGATGAGACAAATCTATGAAGATGTGAGCAGCTCAGCGAAGTCCAAAAAACTTCCTGTAAAATGGATGGCCCCCGAAGCACTTTATCAAGGCCTTTACACCACCACAAGTGATGTGTGAGTATAAAAAAATCCCACTCTTTTAAACACATTTCGATAAATTACTGTTCAGAAAACCTCAGTCAGCTTCCCTAAAAGTCGTGATCAGCGAGTTTATTTCAAACCGTTTGACCGATCTAGAATTTCAGTGGTTATAGTGGCTGATTTCGTACTTATCAATATAATTTCGACTCGGGACTACATAGTTTGCATATACGTCCTGAGCGAGAGCGGCGTCTGTTGAATTCTTAATTCGGAGTGTATGTAAAGATCATTTAGTTACGATTATGCGGCAGACCCGTCACCTAAATTGGTATTCTTTTCCGATCCCTACTCTATTAACCTTGCTAGGCCATTGGCTAAGGGCTTTGAGCAGCTTAGGCCTGGTGTCATAAGGTTCAGTCAAGGGCGAAGGTATGGAAAGGTGGAGATACGCCCTTTTGCCTTAAGTTCACCAAGTAAAAAGAAGAGAGGAAAAGTAATGTTAATGCAGTGGGAATATTCACGACCTCTGTGCTTTTCTCTATAGTTGGTCTTTTGGTGTTGTTCTTTGGGAGATGGCTACATTGGGTGAGTAGACCGTCAAACACTAATCATGTAAACTTCCAAGGCGAGGGGAATCCCAAGAACTCTCCTCCCTGTTGCCACGGGGTATATGACTTGAATTGTGCGACTGATATCAAAGGACGACACTAGGACTTAAAGAGTGAGTCCTTATTAAATAAGGCTATTGTTCCAGGAAACAGGATGATACCTGATGACTTTTATTTGTGGCAAGCTAGGCACTTTTGTTTTGAACTAGGCTCTATGTCTGATAAGCGATAATTGGTATCAAATATGCATTAGTTGTTTTCTGGAAAGAGGAGCCTTATTACTAAGCACCCTGTTTTCTGTAAAGACACATTTCAATGCAATTCTGATCCCTGCTCAATCATTATTCTGTTGCAAAACGGCATTATTGAGTGCGGGGAAATGAAGAGTCGTGGACATTGACATTTTCAGGAGAAAGCTATCCAGGGGAATGAGCAGTATTTTCAAATAATAACATGTATATTTTTTCTTTCGCATAACGTGATCAGGAGGCGTACCATACCCCACGCTGACCAACTCAGAGTTGTATCGACTGCTTGGCACTGGTTATCGCATGGAGAGGCCTGACATGTGCTCCGATGATGTGTACGTTTCTTGATCAGAATCGTCTTAGAACTGACAAAAAGATTCGATTTTTCCGTGCGTCTTTTTAGTTATAAATAGCCTTGAAAGTTGCAGAGGACAAGTCGGTTTCGATTTTGACGTTTTCTTTGATCAAAGTGATTACTGAACAGACAGACGGCAAAATCTTAGCTTAAATATTTGTTTCATACAGAAATATGATAGTGTTATTAAACAGAGATCGACAGAGCAAGAATTAGCCTGCGAGCAAGCTCTCCATTTGGGCGAGGAAAACGAACCGCGCGAGTACGCGCGAGCGGGGAGCCCCTCGCTGTGATGTTTCCTCTCGCGTGTCGCACGTGCGTGTACTTGAGGAGATCCCCCAGGTGGAGAGCTTGCTTGCAGGCTTGGCAAGAAACCGACAAGCCTAATGATCCGGCTTGAGTGGCTCCCAGCTGATCTAAAGGAAACCTCTTCCACTAAATCGGAAAAACGGTGTCTATACATGTAATAATGGATTGGAACTCTGACTAACTTCAATTGGTTTGTTTTTTTTTGTTTGTTTTTTTTGTCCATAACAGATATGAGCTGATGGCTGACTGCTGGAAAGAGGAACCTCGCTCTCGTCCCAGTTTCTATCAACTGATCGAAAAGCTGGAGGTGATAATGGAGAGGGATGCACCATACTTGCATCTAAACGAACACAATGAAGATCGTCCATATTACAACGTGCCACCTGAAGCTAGTGATGATTAAATGTGGAGAAGGAGCTTCCCCAGTAATCAGACAATTTCAGACCAAACGATTATAAACAGTTAACCAGTAATGATCATATCGAGAAAGTAATCTTAAAACGTTTGAATAGGAAGTAAAAGTAGAAGCATAACAAGAACTGTATTAGCAGTAAGGCACCTAGGATCTAATCAGGACTGAGCCCTTTACCCAGGAATGTTCTTGCAAAACGCCTGGGTCATAGCGTGCTAGATTTATATTTTTAAGACCGTTTTTAGATTCCTCGATCTCTCACGTAAAAATAAAAACAAATTATTAAGCTGTCACATGCGAGCTGTTTTCGTTTCTTCACAATCTGCAGCCTGCGTAGTCAGCGGGATCATAAGCGCGTACAGAGTTTTGGCAGAGGAGCTGCAAAGCTGCTCATCTTAGGAAAGAAGAGGAGACGTTTTGAAATTCCCTCGCAGCTTCACCGCCAAAACTCTCTCACGCGCGCGCGCGCAAAAAAAGGGAAGGCCAGCTGATCTGACAGTCAGCCCAAGCGTAGTATAGTTGTTGCATGTGGTACAATATTGCAAAATGAAAGGAAACTATCGAAGATTCGTCCGGGCGGTAATAGATTCAAAAAGAAAGTTATTAGCAGAAATTAATTAACAATTAATGAATGAGGCTGAGTATCTTATGAAGAATTATGGACATCGAGGAGGGTGTTATAACACCCTGGCTTATCAGAGATTGGCATACTTGACATGATCCAGTACGAAAATATCTTCTTGAGCAGCAAAACCTTTGCGGTGCTTAGGGCTTCGAGTGCGTCAGGTTTTAGAAATCTTGCTTGAACGTATTTACAGCTATCCAACAGGAGGGCATTTTGCATGCGCATGCGTGAATTTGCTGAACGGCAATGGCGCATCAAATCTGATGGCGGGAAATCGAAAACTCAAGCGTAAAGTTACAGTCCTTTTAAAAGCCATTTCGTTGGTGCTTTGAATACCGTACTTTCCTACAAAAATATTCTCCATGACAAAAATCGGACGTTTTCTACGCGGGTTTTCACTTGTAGATTTTTCAGCAGTAGCTTTTCTTGGCCTTTTAAAGACTTTCAACACTCAACGCCAAAAAGTCATGTTCCTGTACAAGTCTGATTTTCACTGGCAAAGCAATGCATTTCTATGGTTTGATTTCCAAACTCGTGCTTTTACTTATCAGGGAGGAAATGCATCGTAGCAATGTTCAACTATTTTAAGACAAAAAGCGAAAAAAAGAATTACCAAGCGAGGTTTATTTATTAGGGCGATGTCTTATGTTAAACTGATCGCGGAGACACGCGTTTATATATGCCACAAAAACATGAGGTGTATGGGGTTTTTACAGTTTTTCGAAAGTTTTCGCGGAAAAATTTATTAAAAAATATTTTATAGGAAATGAAGAATGGATTGAGTTTGAGACAGCAACAATTACAAGTAATTATTATGTAGCCGGGGCATAATCACTTCAGCATTTCATAAGCTCAGTTGAAGACAAAACGAATGCACATACTCCGAAAAAGCAGCACTTTTATTTTTCTTTAACTCTAAAGATACAGAGATTTTTCCTAAGCTACTATTTTGAAGCGACTCTTGAGTAACAGCTCGTGTGTTCCACAATCGATTTCTTGTTATTAATTTATATTTGATGATAGTAGTGATCCATTCAAAACAGAGAATGGCCAGCACTCCATAAATCTAACTGACGATGTTGTTCACCTTCAAAGCCTGTTTAAACATAAGACAGGAAGTTTGTTAAAGGGGTGCACATAATGCTGTTTCCTCAAAAAATAAATACTTCTGCTAAAGGACCCAAATGAGCTGGGATGCGACAACAAACATGACACAAATAGATGGATGAATTTGTCCGTTATTAATGTTTCTGTTGAGAGCTTTTTACTGTATCCAGATGAACCCCTTATGTAAGTTGTACATCATGGAAGAATCATCAAGTAGAAACTGATGCATTAAACAAGAATGTGGTTCAATACAGAGGAGAAGTTGGTCTCAGTCAACATCCTTCGTGAATGAAATGGCTCACAAATTAGCATATCAACAAATGTAGTATCCACAAAATGGTATCATTTAGGAATAAAAGCGATTTTTTTGCAACAGACGCCAGGATTTATTTAAAAGGTATATTGATAACGTTTCATTTCGTGCTATTTTGAGGTTGGGGAGTTAGGCTAGATTTTCTTTAAAACGCCAAAATGTTATCGCCATTTGCATAATGAAATGTAAACAAACAGTGTACCATCAAAATAAGGTGGAAAAAATCAGAATTCAAACCGATTGCTGTAATTCTTTTCCTTTGTATAACTAAATGATAGAATATTCTTATTTTCAAAACACAATCTTACTGGCATCATTATATTGATTTAAATTTATAGTTGAAGTGCGTGTATTTTATTTCTCAACGAAGACGCACCGGAGAAGAAAGTAAAAATTACTGCAGAAGGCGATTTTTCACAGCCTTCATTAAAGCGCCATTCATTTTCGGAAGTATTCTTAATTTCATTAATCATTAACTTAAACTGGGGAGAAAGGCAAGATTTCGAGATAAACAAGCCAGAGAAAGGGTGAAAAACAGTTTCACGGCAGAGTGGACACTTAATTAACCACTGTATTCCTGAAACGATTAAGTTCGATTTTAGAGTTATACTATTGAGAAGAATAAAGTATCTATAGGATAATTGTTTAATAAAAAACTATCATACTGACCTTTTCCTCCCGCTCAAAAAATGTGCGCGAAATGTTAGGTGGTAAAAACATTCAGCCGCCATCTTGTCTTTGATGTACTGTTTTACGAAAGGAAAGACTGTCCTCTCAAGGGCGACAGCGAGGCTACAATAAACTCATTTTCATCATAGAAATACCTCAATACCTTAAAGAACATGTTTGTGGAACGTAGCACCCAATACACATCATTCAGCTCCAGAAAACCGCCTGCAAATGCTGGTACTGGACGTAAACAATTCACAGCAAATGCCTCTGTGGCACATGGCACTTCAACAGCCCACATTGACGCATGCGCATACAAAATGCCCTCCTGTTCAGCTATCCCTAATTTCCCGTCCTTTTAGAAGGGTCGTGACTAGATTTAGGGTGTGTTCCTTTCGGCGAACCCAAAAACGGATTTTGGATCCTAGATTTGCCAGATTTCGCGGTCGAAAGGAACGTGAAATCCGAAATTGGATTTGTAACCTTGGTAACCTTTCGCCAACGCGTGCAATATGCACAACAGCCTCTCAAGAAATGATGTGTTTTGTACTGTTTGACAAATTATGCGATTATACCGTGCAGAATTTAGTGGTCGGCAGTTCGAATAGCGACGATGGAACATATAAAAAAGACAAAGAAAGAAGCGCATTAAAATTGAAAATTATCTAAAGAATGTCGGCCAGTTTGATCCAGTTCCATAACTCGGATTTTTTTATGTATCACGATCGAGTGCCTGTCGCGTCTACAAGCGAGTTTGTAGTTAGATAGCAGTTCATTTGTTACTTTTACTTATTTCTTATTTCAAGCAATCTTTAGAGAAAATGGTTAGTATATCGATATTTTAATGTACCAGGAACAATCTTCTAGTATTTTCAGATGTTTTGAGGCAAATGACAGCAACGAGGAAACTCTACGGCCTCTATGGGAATACTTCAACTGGAAATACCGCTGGATCATCTGACTAATTTCGGATCCACTG